GCCTGGCTAATTTTTGTGTTTTTAGTAGAGACGGGGTTTCACCATGTTGGCCAGGCTGTTCTCAAACTCCTGACCTCAGGTGATCTGCCTACCTCGGCCTCCCAAAGTGCTGGGATTGCAGGCATGAACCACAGTGCCCGGCCAACTTTCGTTTCTTTAAATTTTGTGGGTACATAATAGGTATATATATTTATAGAGTTCATGAGATGTTTTGATACAGGTAGGCAATGTGAAATAAAAATACGGAAGGTTTCACGAATTTCACATCACCCTTGCACAGGGGCCAGGCTCATCTTCTCTAATGTTAGTATATGTGCTACCATAGAGAGCACCTGTTTTTGGACTTTTTTTTTTTTTTTTTTGAGACGGAGCTTCGCTCTTGTTGCCCAGGCTGGAGTACAATGGCACTATCTCGGCTCATCACAATCCTCCACCTCCTGGTTCAAGTAATTCTTGTGCCTCAGTCTCCGAGTAGCTGGGATTACAAGCAGGCACCACCACGCCCAGCTGATTTTTGTATTATTAGTAAAGACAGGGCTTCTCCATGTTGGTCAGGCTGGTCTTGAACTCCCGACCTCAGGTGAGTGCCTGGAAGTCCGAGAGACCTGGCATGGAATCTTGCTTCTTGCCTCAGCCTCCCAAAGTGCTAGGATTACAGGCGTGAGCCACTGCACCAGGCCTGAACTTTCTATAAAGGATTCATACAGTCCATGCTCTCTAATGCCTGGCTTCTTTCATTCAACCTTATGCTTGTGAGACTCATCTGTGTTATTTTGGATGGTGATAGTTCATTAATTCAAAGCTTTTTTTTTTTTTTTTTTTTTGAGACGGAGTCTCGTTCTGTTGCCAGGATGGAGTACAATGGCATGATCTTGGCTCACTGCAACCTCCACCTCCACCTCCTGTGTTCAGGTGATTCTCCTGCCTCAGCCTTCTGAATAGCTGGGATTATAGGCACATGCCCCCACGCCCAGCTAATTTTGTATTTTTGGTAGAGACGGGTTTTCACCTGTTGGCCAGGCTGGTCTCAAACTCCCGACCTCAAATGATTCACCCACCTCAGCCTCCCAAAGTGCTGGGATTACAGGCATGAGCCATGTGCCCAGCCACAAAAGGCTTTTAATTGTGGAGTGTGGTGATCTGAGCCAAGCTCTAGAACGAACTGGATAAGGTCAAAGGTGGGAGCAGGCAAGAGACTTGGGGGCGTGGCCAAGGGTGCTGGCTGCGGAAATGGGGGAAGCCAGTCGGAAATCAGATGCATTTTGCATATCAACATGATAACATTTGTGGATAGATTGTGTGGGAGATGAGAGACACACTCCAGGACCGTGGGGTTCATTATTTAAATTCCTGTGCTGGCCGGGCGC